AGGATTGTGAGTAGGCAGTGTAGCAAATCATTGCTGAACCTGATTACAGATCTGGTGTACAGAGACACCAAAAGAGGCTGCTACTTGTTTAATTAACTAAAAACGTGTCTACACAAGGGGCAAAAGAAGTATGAAAACAGCTCAAATTTGATGTACAATAACTTTTTCTCCAAAGGAAAGCCCACTTCTTGGCACGTGCAGAATAGACTGAATCAGACAGTCAAGAGTACTCTGTATCATGAAGAAAAAGATGGTAGAGTTTATTCTGTCTCTTCTATAAACATTCAGTGTTTTTTGACAGGTCTCTAATCTGGTCTAAAAATTCAACAGTCTCTATAATTATTTATCCATGCTGTTCCACTATCACCACAGTTCAATTCTAAAGTAGATCATTATATCCTTTTTCAATACCCTAATAATCTAAAGATTATATCCTAGTTAAACATCCTATTCTATTGAAGAGAACTAAACAGGTCTTAAGTGAAAAAAACATCAGATATTAAAAGGCAGAGAATCATACTATATTACTATAGCTGTTTTAAATAATATTACCATCTGGAGTTTTCAAACCTCTAACAAGTGTTTCAAATAGAGTAACACAGTGGTTTTCTGTAGGTTCCTAACTGCACTTGAGTAACTTTAAAGACTGCTCTTGTTTAGCTATACTGCATAAACAAAAATATGTAGCTTTGTTCCAGCAGGGATTACGCATTTTTTGGTGAACATATGCATTCTGAATGGCTATCTTACCCGTTTCCTTTGCCTTGTCTTCTGTACTTTTTTCCTTTTTGGAGAGACTTTCTTCATGTGACTTCATCTTTAATAAATACAATCGTATTAAAATAATTCAGCACTATTTTTATATTAAAAATAAAAATGCATTTACAAATTTACTGAAATTAAGCATCAAGCATAAAAATGTGCTCCATCGATTAAATTTTTTTCTGCCATACCTTCTTCCTATCTTAAACACTTCTGATTTTAAGCAATGACAACATGATTGACAGAAGTTGTAAAAGAAAGCAGTTGCTATTTCAACTCCAGTTTTCAAAAATGAACAGAAGGAACCTTCTAGGTTACTGAGTCCAGTCTCCGACCATTAACCAGGAGGTAAAAGCTCTTTCTTAGAGTAACAAAGATGCTATTATAAGAATATGTATATTTCAATCCCACAAGTGCATCTCCTACTATAAATAATACATATCAAGACTGATATTTAAAAAAAACCAACAAAACAATAATGAAGGAGAACATATGATCAGTTAATTTACTAATGACAGAAAAGGTATCACATTTCATGGATAAAAGTCTATGTTGCATCTGCATGACCAAATGAGAAGTCCAAATAAAAGGTCTAGATTATTTGCTATTCTAATTGCTAATCTTAGACTATTACTCTGCAGGAGTCGTCCGTCTCCTTCCCATACTCAATCTCATTCTGAAGAATGGAAAGGGAGTGAAATACTGATAAGTCTTAAGTTACAGCCTCAGGTAACAGCACTGTTTAGGTTCTCAGATTCTTATTTGGAGGCAGGGAGGAAGTGTAAGATTCTCACTTCTTTAAATGTCTAAAAAAAGATAAATCAGAATCCTTCTTAAGGAAGAATCAGATATGCTACAATTTTAACTTTGGAATTCACATTCAAAGACAAAACGAGCAAGAAATGGCTTTTGGACAACCTATACATGGGCTCAGAATCAGGAGGGATTAAAAAAAAACAGTTATGTTTCCTTCTAATTACAATAACTTCATGTTTTTCTTATGGCTTACCTTAAGAAATTTGTATGCTGCAAACACTCCCACTCCAAGAGCATACAACGGCATGAGGGTGAATGCTAACTCTCTACCATTTCCTCTTGTTCTCTCACTCTTTATCTCTTTTTCCATTGCATTTCTCATCTGCTGAATACTCTGATAAGTATTACTGTCAGGATTTCCTGGATTCAGGTGAACTTGATGAACTGCCTGAGGACTACCTTAAATAATTGAGAGGAAGAAGACAAAGTTAGAAAGGAAATTAAGAGTCCAATTAGTTTCACAACTGGAATTAAATTGTTTTCTTCTTGTGTGACCATCTTTGTTCAACACTCTTCCAAGACGTTGTGGTCAGCCCTGCATCCAAATAAAGTTACCAAAAGAAATATTTTTTAAATCACTCTTTCATCAATAGAATGCAAAGTTAAATCTAGATAGCAAAGATTTTCAAGCTAAGTTCCTATGTTTCTTTAAGATACAAGTTTAAAGTTTCTTCCCTCACAGCAACATTGGCAAACCCACAGCAAACCACAGAAATGTAGAAGTAACAAGAAACAACTTAAATCTTGAAATTAAGGCATACTCAACAAAACTATCATTAATGCCAAGAACAGTAACAAATTAATATTTTTCCTCTGTAGCAAAGAAAGGAGTTAAGTACAAAGTGAATTGTCTAGTCCCAGAAAAAAAAGTTCTGTTGAAATACACATGCTGCTGTGTTGCTGCTTTCATTTTGACAGTAAATTGTTATGTGGATATTTCCACGGGCTCAGAAGTGCTGTAGCCCTGCAAATCAAAGATTTAACAGATAAAGATTACACAATAGCAGAGAGATGCAACCTTGGAAGTCTGAAGTATTTTTGCATGTAATTTGCCTGCCAGAACAGGGAGCGGATGAAAGAACAGCCAGTGTCATTGCTTGACTTAGGAATTAGGTTATTTGGTAGTTAAATCTGGGGTTCATGGGACATACACATGAGAAACTGGGCTATCAGCTAAAGAATGCAGATGTTTGCAGAGACAGACAGCAGGTGATCCAGGGGTGGGGTGTGTGAAGTTTTACACTGATGTCTCAACTGACTGCCTAGTCTTATACTTTAAAATCCCTTTGAATATGTAATTCATCATAATTTAATATATCAGAACCAAGCAGGGGTAAAACAAGATTCATATTCTATAAAAACTCCTAAACAAAAGACCGTTATGCAAATCACTCTTTGTCAATTAATACTAGAACAGTGGCATTTCACGAGTTTACAGTAACCTAACTCAAGTGTGCAGGAGACAGCCACAACCAGGTAGAGAAAAAAAAGAAATTAACATAAATTACAACTCCCAGTGAAACAACTGTTTGGCTACAGCTTCTTCCAAATACAAGAGAAAAAGGAATGTAATTCTGCTAGCCTAGGCTGGTTGGTACTTTGTGGTAAGAGATCTTGAACAGTGTTTTAGAATTGTCTAATATGAAGTAGCCAGAAGTTTTCCAGCCCTCCAGGGATGGCCCTGACTGTAGCGATGTCTACTATCAGCTCTGCAGTCAAGTCGTGCCAGGCATTACTGCAAGTTCTTCCACATGTAATTGATCAGTCTGCAACATGCACATTTGGAGTAGATCTTTTATCTGTACATTTGCTCACTGGAACTCAAAATACAACTGGACAGTTACACACAAAAAAAATTAAACTGATTAAATTAGCTTCTACAAGCAGGGCTTAAGCTATCTTAATCATTTAATGCAAGTTCAGGCAGACATTCTCAACACAAGCAGGTTTAGACTTACTAAAACTACACTAACTAATCTGGAAACTACATTTCATCTTACATATAGTTTTCCTCCTTTCAGACTGTTTCCCATTGATTACTAGTTTTAAGTTTGCACTTGCTCTTTTTTCCTTACTTTCAGTTCTACTCGTTTTTAATGTAATTGAAGACATTTACTAAAATACCTAATAGCACAGATGAAGAAAATTCCATGGGTGATACAAGTAAAAAATGTGGTCAAGGAAAACAACACCTTCCTGGCACTGAGGAGGGATGTTGAACCGTAACCGAGTCCAGTGCCTTGCACCAAATTTATCCCATGAAAAAAACAGCAGAGTGAGTTACTGGCCAAACAGGAGAAAATAACAACCCAGACAGGTGAGAACTGCAGATTGGCCTGAAATTTATTTTACACAGTGCTGGGTCAATACATCAGTAGAATCACAGGCATCTTAAGTGTTGCTTCTTTCAAGGTTTGGTTTTAAAATAATTTGATCTGTAGGAAATGACAGCTACCATATAAATTAAAAGAAATCAATGAAAACAGGCCAGGCTAGAGCATATGAAGTACAGTAAATTTTATGTCAGTTGGGAAGAATGTGGCAGCAGCTCAAGCCTCACTTTTTTCTGCCTCCTGGGGAAAAGCACAGACACATAATTTGGAGGATTACGGCAACTATCTATCTCTCGGTTTACAATGCATTGGAAAGCATCATCAGTGAATCACAAAGCAACTTCAGGAAAGCAGGTTTTTTGTTATTTTCCAAAATGAAAGTGGCCCTTTGGACCTTGAGCTAAATCCTCAGCCACGTAAGCTGACATAGCTTAACATATATTTACACCATTCAAGCTTTAACAAGCAGCAAGCTCTCTAGCCCATTCAGTGATATCTTTTCTAAACAAACATGTTGGACTCTTTCCAATACACTACCTGGCAAATCTCACGCGATTCCGTGCTAATGTTTACCAACAGTAACACTTGGCTACCTTATTGCAATTCTAACACGCACAGTGATTTTCTTTTTTTTTCTTCTGACACCTTACAGCAACTCCCTCACCTGTTAAGAGTAACTAACTATAAACCCTGCCGGCATTATTCCTTAAAGTGCCCCGATAAAACAGGCTGCCAGTAACAGGGTGTAACCTGCACTTAAAAGTAATTTTCTTCAGGCAACGCTGACCGAACTCAAAAGAGCGATGAAGCAGAACAGCAGAGCACAGAAGGGAGGTTGGGGGTGTGGGGGGGACAAGGCGAGGCGGTGAGGCACACTCCCCAGCTCGGAGCCCCCTGGCAAGGCCTCTTCCTTGGCAGGCCAGGCGAAACACCCGGCGCCTCCCGCCAGACGAAGGCGAGCCGACGCACAGCCCTCCCCGCTCCCGAGGGTTCCCCTCAAGCCCGCCCGAGCGAGGGGCCGGCCCCCAGCCGCGCCCGCACGGAACGCCAAGGGCGGCGCGGCCCCGGGCACCGCCGCGGCTCCCCTACCTCTGCGGTGCTGACGGGGATCGTAATGGCCGGGGCCGGCCCTCCCGCCCCGCGGAGACCGGCCGGCCCTCCCGCCACCACCTCCTCCTCCTCCCCCGAACATCCTGGGCATGACGACGAAGACGCAGAGCACCAGCACCACCGAGACCACCGCCTGCTGCGGCGCCCACAGCGCCATGGCGGCCGCCGCCACCTTCCTGCCAACGAGCCGCCCGCCCGCCGCGAAGGAGAGGCGCCTGCCCGGCTGCCGCTCACCTCCCCGGCCGCGCAGCGCCCCCCGGCGGGCTCCAGGCGCCGCGCCGCTCTGGGGCTCGGCGGGCGGTTCCCGGGCGAAGGTTCTGGAAGGGGCGGGACGGGACCTCCTCAGGCGGGACCCCCCTCAGGCGAGGCCCCGGCAGCCGGAGCCATGAGGCCGTGGGCGGCGGTGGCGGCGGCCCTGTGGCCAGTGCTGAGGGCTGCAGCTGGGCCGTTGCCCACCGTTCCGAGCATCACGGATAAGACCTTCATCGAGGACTGCGTGCGCACCCACAATGACTTCCGCGCCGAAGTCCAGCCAGCCGCCAGCAACATGCGGTACCTGGTAGGGACAGGGCTGGGGGTGCTGTAGAGTCCCGCCGTGTGTGTGTGGGGGGGGGGAACGGAACAGCAGACCAAGGGGGTCTTTTGGTGGTCCCTGGGTGAGGCGACCAGGATGGCTTCACTCATTTGTGTTCAAATTTCATCAGGTTTATTTGATAGAAAATAATGTAGTGAGTTGAGTTGAGGCGCGGAATCACGACTTTACAACCAGTAGGGTTATAAAGTAGGTATGTTTATTCAGTGCTGGGCGCACGGGGGAATCGTTTCCTCCAAATGCACGCGCAGCTTGGAGCCAAAAGCAACTCCTTTTTATTGCTTAAAAACGTTATATATTCACTAATTCTAATACATATGCATCACTACTCCAAGGATAGGGAGGGAATATTACAATTAGTTCCGAGAAATCATTAACATATCCCTCCACCCCAAATTCCTCCCATTATGCTTGCACAGTGCTTCCTGGTGGTCGTGGGCAGGGGTCTTCAGATGAAGGCTCAAGTCGTAGTCTTTTTCACTGTGTTCACTAGTTGACCCTTCTGCACAGACTCAATCCTGTAGTCAGGTACACCTTGTCCTTCAAGTCTAGGCTAATTTGCAGCTCCTTTGTCTTTATGGCTCAGTGGTTTTAGTTCCTCTCTTATCTCAAGGACAAGAGATACAGAGGTGGCTCATCCTGTCTTCCTTCAATTCAATCACAAGGGAGTTACCGTCCTTTGTTATGGACCATCAAGGGCCCATCTTGTTCTTATTCCATTGCAAAGGAGTTACCATCCTTTGATGGAGGCCATCTGGTGAGCATCCCAAGAAGGTGGGGGGGGAGCTATCGGGTTAGTGTGAGCATCCCCTGAAAGGGGGGGGCTGTCGGGTTAGTGTTTCCTCAGATCAGAGTCAGTTGTAGACAGGTGAATCTAGAAAAACAGGCATGTGGGATGAGGGTGCAGTGACACCAGCCAGCTGAAGATGTTCACATTTCACCCCAAGGAGTTTTTCTTTAGGAAGAAGCAATGGTCCAGCAGCAGGAGTGATCCAGAAGAGTTAGGTTCCCCATGAAAAACAAGAATATGAACTGCAATACGGGGGCAGAAGGGGGTTTCTGGAAAATTTTTTGCTGGAAAGGGTTGTACAAAACTGAAGAAGATGTAGAAAAAGTGGATGCTTGATGTTTAGTCCACTTTGTACCACAAGCGGAAGGTGTGAGCCATGAGCAGCTAAAGCATGAGTTCCTCGAGGAAGGTGTGGGAACACGCACGTACTGGGATACTGATGGCAAAGAACGCCATTTGCTTGAGTGGGTTTGAAGCCAGAGTGGCAGATAAGGGGGTTTAACCTTGGATCTGAAGAAGCTTGTGAAAGACAGCTAACCCAGGTTTTGTACTGAAGAACAGGAAAACCAGGAAAAATTACGAATAAGATATGGGTGGAGAAATATGGTTAGAAAAAACTAAAAGCCTTAGGGAGAAAATGGTAGCAGCAGCCAGTGGAGTTACTGCAAAATCCACATAGAAACTGAGAGCGAACTGCAATGTACAAACACCATTAAACTTAGGCAATAAAACACAGGATCTTTTACATAAGACATAAAACTAGGTACTTTAATGGTAGAAGAAACTTGATGAAAATCAGTCATGACTGGAAGACAAATACCACAGATATTCACGTTCAGGAATCACAAGTTTTGTTAACAGTGGTAGACTGCAAAGAAGTAAGAGGTAGCAGAATGAGATACTGGCCAAACATTGGCATGTTTACCTCACGAGCATGCCTCTCTAGTGCTCTGATGTGTATGTAAAGCTTTACTGTAAGAGCAGTAAGTGTCTGTTTCCAGAGGTTCTCTTAGAAGTACTTAAAATATTTATACTTCTGAATCTACAATAGTGTGCATTTTTACTTTGAATTAATTTTTATGTACCAAATAGAAATCCTTAATTACCTGTTCAAAAAAAAAAAAAGTTTCATGTTTCATTAATGTGACAGTAATTTCTTATCTGAAGATGAAAGTGCATTTCAAACATTTTTTCAGTTACTAGCAAGTACTCTTACAAAGTTAATTTTCAACCAGGGGAAAAAATCTTGTCTAATGAAATTAGTTCATATTTATGTGCTGCAAGAGGAAAAGGCAATGAAAATAAAACACAGGTACTTGCCTAAATAAGGGAAAGTATTTCTTTATGAAACTCCAGCATATGATACCTATCTGTACTTTATCGCCTGACTGGTTTTATCTGATTGTTTAAAACCCAGTTATAACTTACCATTGCACAACTATTTCACCTTTCATGTTTTGCAGACTTGGGATGCAGCTTTAGCAAGGACTGCAAGGGCATGGGCAAATAAATGCATTTTTAAACATAACGTATACTTAAATGAGAAACATCAGTGCCATCCTAATTTCACATCTGTTGGAGAAAATATTTGGGTTGGAAGTCATCAAGCATTCCGTGTTGCTGATGCCATTAAAATGTGGTATGATGAGGTCAAATTCTACATTTTTGCAATGCAGAAATGCACCAAGACTTGCAGTCATTACACTCAGGTAAGAGTTATCTTCGGTAAAATGTCCTACATAGTGCCTACCAGATGAATCAGTAAGGGCTGTAAATAATACAGAGTTGTATATATGGTTTGTAGTGACTGACAGTAAAGCAATGGCTGTACTGCCAGTTACCTCTGCACTGGTTCACCTCCTTGACTTGTGTAATAATCCATTCTTCTTGTCCACAGTACTGGCCTCACTGCAAGCCTCACTCCTTGTTTCATTTTATCAGTACTACATAAACTTTATAAAATGATAAGTTCTCTAGCTGCAAAGCCTCGCAGTTCAGAATTCTGTAAATTTGGAGATGCTGTTTGAAATAATGAGAGTAATTGCAGAATGTGTGTGGGTGCGCCATAGTAGAAATGTTAACAGAAGGAGAAAATCCAGCCAAAGTAAATTGTATTCTTTACAGATGTTGTAAAAAAAGGAAGGGAAAAAAAAGAGAGTATTTACAACAAAAGAAGTAATTCATGATATATTTCAGGTTTGTCAGTGGTAATTCTGGCAAACGTACTTCTGATGAGAAAGTAAAGCTTTTCTTTGAAAAGTTAATATTTAAAATGCCTTTATTCATTCCCATGTTTAAAAAACAAGCTTTGCAGTAGAATTAGTTTCATCTGTGAGCAAACACATATTTCACTGCTCTAAAACAGATTATAATTTTAATGTCAAGTAGATCTTCTCTAGTAAAAGTGAGTCTAATTTTTTATCTCAGTATTCAAAGATGCTTAGACTGCTCTCTGTCCAAATTGCAGATGAAAAAACTGTGCAGTATACTTACAGTGAAACTGTTACCAGACACAACGGTAGCTGCGAGATTCTTTTTGAGTAGAGTTCTAGATTATGAAATGAAAATACATTAAATTACCAGAGTCTTTTACAGACCATTTTCTGTTGTGTCTTTTTGTACCTCTTTTTACGTCTTTTCTCACTTCCTCTCAAGCGTTATTTTCCTATCCCTGGTTCTGCCTGTAACAAACTCAAAAGCAAGGCTGGAGGATTTAAGTTTTGCTGTTTATTGGGCAGTAAATCTTTAGAAGATTAGAACTAGACAGTACATTAGGAAAGTATTTTTAATTTTTTCTCTGGCACAATAGATTATAAAAAGTTATGTAGCAAAGTAGTTACTATCATTTTAAAATTTGCTGTTCAACCTTGTCTACATAGAATTCTGGAGGTTTTTGTACATTCTCTCGGAGTGATGTTGACTTCTAAGCTTTCTTTCTCCTGATTAATATTGCTTGATCCTTCTTGTCACACATAGTTAATTTGAATCAAAATGTTAATGTATTTCAGGCAGTATTTCAGGCAGAATTAGGAACTAATGTAATCACTGGAGAAAACAAGCAGAGTACGTGGGTTAAACACCAGTGAACATGTAAAAGTACATACGTCATCAAAATTGATAATCAGAGACCATGCATAATCCAGGAGCCATCATGGTCTCGAAGGCACAGACACAAAATTGCAAATGAGCAAAATGTGCAGTTTATCTGTAAGTGGATAGGCTGTGTAGACCTGCTAAGAGAACCACGACCCAGAAATCTCAAAATGGTGGAAATCTAAAAAAAAAAAAAAAGTGAAGCTGTTACATAAAGGTCCCAGAAATGCTTAGTCCTTAATCCAGGATTCAGGTAACACCATGTTAAACATTAAGATCCTTTTTGAAGAAAGTTTATGTCTGTTGAACATAACCACTTCTTGCAGTTGTAGTTGAAGAGATGGAATTTTTGGGGATGTTCAAATCAGTCTGCCATTCTGAGGCCTGTACTCTTCATACTGGGGACATGCTGAGAGTAATACACTATGTCTTTAAGTTTTCCAGAGTTAGAATGTATGATCATCCAGATGTTTTAGGTATATAGATAAACATTTTTACCTGAATTCAGTTTGGTTAGTCATATGCAGAAGGTGTAGGAAAAGCCTGCCAGGAAAAAGCAGATGCCCAAACTGTAATTGATGGTAAACCATCTTCTGTTAAGTATGGCAGATAACACTCGTTAGTTGGAAAATAAGCAGTGCTAAAGCTTTCAGACTTAAGTTTACAGTAGTAATCAGCCAGACCACTTATAGGACACAGGAGAAGCCCTTCTTGCAGACCTGAGTTACGAATTTTAAAATTACTTAAAGGAGCTGTTGGGTAATTGCCACTAATTTCCCTTTTGTTCCATGGAACCTACTCATGGATCATGAAGTCAGTGACTCTTACTGAAGTTGTTCTGTAGAAGATCCTGGAAACTTGCAGCATAGGTCACTTCATCTTGAGGGGCAAATATTTAGATGTTCATCTTAAAAAGCTTGGTTACCAGCAGTTTTTTTAAATGCATAAAAAGATCAGATGTTGCAAAATGAAAATAATATGTAGGATCTCTGAAAATAACAGAAACTTTCTAGATATTAGGCTAGGCTACCGTTGAGTGTTTTATTTTAAAACCTTTTATTTTTTTAGGTAGTTTGGGACGATTCATATAAAATAGGATGTGCTGTTACTCTATGTAAACAAGTTGCAGGAATACAAAATGCAGCAAATTTTATTTGCAACTATTCACCAAGGTAAGTTGCTGGTTTAAATGTTAAAAAAATGAAGGTAATTATAGTGAAATTTAGCTGAAAGTAAATTGGGTTCTTTATTTATTGGTAGCCCTGTAGATGCAATCAGAGAAAACAGTGATTGTCTAATTCAGTTATCAGGAGAGCTGTGAGCATTAGAACACTTATATAGTTTTTTAATCTGTTAATTTTACTGACAAAGCTTATTCTGTGCAACTCTTAAGCAAACAAATCCAAAACTTAGCTTATGCTCCAATTCATTGATTTCTTCTTCATATGAAACAGAAATGAGAAAATTGCTGCAGGCAACTGCTGTCAGAGCTGGAATTGCCTCTTGCAGTTTTATATATTTCTTTAATTGCACTTTACCTTTTACACTGTATTTCTTTTTTTTTCCGCCCTTAGAAATGATAGTAGTAATAGCACAGTTGTTAGATCAGTTGCTTTTCCTTTTTGTGTAACTGAGTAAAATAAAATTACATTATAATTTTTTGCCCATTTAATAGCTGCAATTATACCAAAAGTTATTTAAGCATCAGAAAACAAAAAAATGATCAATGCAAGAAAAAGCTAACTGCAGCATGTCATTTCACATCTAAATTGATATTCTGAAAAAACACAGGCCCCAGCCGGTGCTGTTCCTAAAGCAGGAGAGTTTCAAAACACAGAAGCAGATAGTTTTAAAATAATATATTTTGTCTCATAATAATGCAGACTCCATAATCAAGCACATGCATATGCAATCTGTTTGTCATTTTTTAAAACATACGTAGCTTGTGAGCTTGTACAACAACTGTTTTTTCTTTTTCTTCTGGCAAACCTGGGCAACTAGTGGGGAGTTCAGTTCACCTGAACTAAAAAATCATTGAGCCCTGCCCATCTCTCTTCCTGTCCCACAAAACTGGACTTGTACTTGAATTGTTATTTTGAAACTTGCTGGGGTATGGAACTTCATTGTTGTTCTCTTTTTAAAATATCAATTAAAATATTCCCAGTTATGTTCAGGTTAATGCCTACACTTTAATTTACGACTATACCCTTGAAGAAGAGCTAAAAGATTGGTAAGAGAGAATACACCCGGCACCAGATGGAGCCAAAGGCTGGATAATTGCCCAAGAAGCAAAAACTGGGAAGAGGTGAAGGTGGAAGGGGGAGAGCATGACCACTGACTCATTTGGACAAAAGGGTTAATGCATGCCATCCCCCCTCAACGCACGCACAGAAACCATGCTCCACCTTTTCCTCATCTCTCAAGGAAATAAGTTCATGGAATACCTGCTTCTCTTTGTCTAGTATGTTAATCAGCCAATAAGATGAACTTAAAAGGCGACAGAAGGCTTTGCTGGGTGTGCACCCACCACCCAAATTACTGGACCTGAGACAACACTGGAACCTGAGTTGGTGATTCTGTTTCCTCGAGTGTCTTTCTTTCCCTTCCTAATCTTCCTTTCCTTTCTTTCTTATAGATAATAAGAGGCCACACTGCTTACTATCCTTTTCCAAGTTGTTTCTACCACAAGTAAAACATTTTAACCACTTGCTTGATGTTGTTTCACCTTAATTTTACCTGAGGGAATCACAAAACCTTTATGACAGCCTGGGCTCCCAGTCTGGGTCATAACACATACTGTGTTGGTTTGCTGGGCTGTTCTGCACATCCTGGAGTACTGATTGCTGAGCTGAATAGCTTTCTAAGATGAGGTCTAACATGCCATTGTTCTTCTGCCTGCTGATTGATACCAAGAACACTGATGTTTACGTCACCACAGGAACAAGTGGAGTTAGAGCAGGCAGACCATCTTCTAACAGACTTTTCCCTTTCTAAACTGTCTGGAAAAATAGGTAAACTTTAACCTTGCCGCCAGTCATCACCACACCCCAGATACTGGAACAGCCTTTTCCAACTTGACCTTCATGAGTCCTTTAGGTTTGGACCCTTAGTGCTCAGATAACCCAACTAGATAGCACTTTCTTTTCAGAGATGAGGATTCACCAGTTTAAGGACCGCCTTGCCAAAACTACTTTATTCGGTGTAGTCCTTTTACAGACATTTCTGAGGGGCTGCTGCTGGGACCATCCATACGTGAGATGCCCATAGTATCTTTCGCCTTGTTTAAAGAGAAGCATACAGTACTTTGGAACATGTCCTGTCCTGTCATCATTCTCATACTCAAAGTTAGCTACGACATCCTAGCTACCAGGCTCTGTTCTTTATGCTGTTCTCATCTCTTCTACCCATCTTCCTCCTGGTACGTGAATATTCATCTAGTGTGTCCAAGAAACCTTTGGCTCTAAGAGGAGCCTCAAGATGGTCCTTCGTATTCTGCTTGGAGGGTAGCAGAATCTTAGAAATGCCCTTGAAAGGGTCTTGTAGGATGTCACAGCTTACTGGACATTGTTCTCAACCATCCTAGAGAGCTTTCCCAGCTAGTCACTTTCTTTTACCTAGTTGTTTTCATTTACCTAGTTTCTTTTCCTATTTTAGCTCTTCATTTTCTGCACCATAGGCAAAAAGTCCAAACTAGAAAAACTAAACACTTTCTCACATCTCACTCTCATTTCTGATAATCATCACTAATGGCAAAAAGTGTGAACAACTGGTGGATCCTGAAGGGAAGACTAGCTAGATACTGTGGTGATTTATCACTTTAGAAGATACTGTATCAGTTGCAACTACCAAATTACTAAGTGTTTGCATTATGTGAATACAGGGTGCTGTGACATTACCTGATGTCAGAAACCTCCTGGCAGTTTCTGGAGTCTTTACAGCACTGCTGGGTGAAGGCAAATTGTCAATCTGAGCTGGATTCAGCAGATCCAGTGAATCATTGGTGTTTCGGGTTGAGTGCTAGTGGTTTTTAGGTACCAGCTAGAGTTTGCATGCACCAGCCCCATGGAGACAGACCAGAGGACCTCTGTTCGAGAGTTCCATCTTGTTCCAAAATTAATCAATATTTACATATTTATGATGCTCAAGTGAGTTTGAAATCACATAGTTTCCATTCTATACTATGAAGGAAGTCTCCGTTGAGACACTTAAAAATGTCTTTTTGGACACTAGCATGTGGCAGCTCTGCTTTCTATTCCAAACCCTTTTCTAATGATTTTCTTTTCATTTTTAAATTTTGTTCATTTAATTTGTCTGTTGCAGGAAGAAACAGTGATTAATCATACATTGACGTCTAGGGAAACTAGTTGAATGCATGCAAATCAGATATCCCAGCTGAAAGTCTTCATCTTCACGTTCAGTTTTCTCTCACACGTTTGGAAATCGTATATCAAATTTACCAGGATGACTATATTACAAGGTGGTTAGAAATACCAAATACCATCATAGACAGATGGACTGTAGATGTCATTGAGAAGATTTATTTGGTTCAATTCAGACTGTTGCTCTTACTTGTGTTTCTATTTTACTGCTCTTAAGGAACCTTTATCTTAAGTCTACTTTAGCAGAAGGGGAAACCTGTCTTGGTTTTGGAGCTGTAAGTTTCCACTTATTTTAGAGCAAAGGACTTTATAACTTCTATTTGTGAGTTGATGGTGGCACATGCTGATTTTCCAGAATTAGAACAGCTGTATTTACAGTTTCAGATTAGGATTGGTAGTGGTTGAGGTTATCCCAACACTGTTAAAAAGAATAAGATGCCTTTAAACAGCAAGATTCCTTCTTTCATATTCCCGTCAGTCTGTCTTAGAGGTAGTACCTGTAAGTGCTGTCAATCCAAATACTGTCATTTTGCCTTTTCACATCAAAAGAGGATTCACTGAGGCCCTGGATATTGGCAGGAACATGATATCCCTATTTTCTTGTTTGGCAGATCATGGCATCCTCAGAACAACAGATGTGCCACGCCTTTCAACAGATGTGGAAAAACTACCTCCTTGTCCCAACTTCACAAGCCTCTCAGTTCTTCTGTTAGAAGAAAAAAATGTCAATCTGTGATATTTCTGTGCTTCAGGGAATACAAATAACATCTCATTATCTTTTTGTTGTTGTACCTTTCCATAATTATGACCTTCCAGGTCACCACCTCTTTAGAAAAATAAGTGACATGCAGTCCCCAATAGTTAGCTGTATCTGCCATTTTTAGGACCTGATCTCTCCTGAAGAATTTGTGGGAGTTGCAATGTTAGAGGACATCAGTGGCTAGTCAGTAAAGTGGTAAATGAAAATCACTGTAAGTAAATATGAAGTGAAACACGTGGGGAAAAGGCGGTCACGTATAAACCCGTGGAGAATGTCAGCACAATGCTCACTAGTTGTCAGAAGCAAATGAAACAGTAGTGATGATTAAATTAAATGATTACTCTTAAAGAGCAAAACATCAAACAGAATAGTGTCACTTTTTATGGAGACAGCCTTTTAGTTTCTGTGGCCTAAACCAGCAAGACAAGTGAAATTAAAGCCCATATGATAGTGTCCCATATATTTTATTTCATTTAAGTGGCATAGTCTTCAGAAGCCACCTGAAGTTCCTTGTGAGAGTGACTTTTTTTCTCTCTGGAGAAGTTAATTTGTGCCTTACATTCCTTCTCATTCCTTACACCTTCTCAATGAGGCAGCACTCCCCAACCTAGGTGTTAACCAATCTGTAGATAGATGGATAGATAGATAGATTTACTTACTTCTAATTACAAGATATGGCTTCTTGGAGAAAAGGGCAAGACCTTTTATTTCTCTGGATCTTTGGCTAAGAGTTCTATAAGTCTTCTCAGAGAGGATTTCACAGTGGATTATGAACTGTGTGAAGTAATAGTGTAATTATCACTTACAGTGGAAGCCTTTGATACCAAGAAAGAGTTGCTAAATTGCAGCTTAGGCAACATCGGTAGCTTCTTTGTATTGCATTCCTTCAATGAAACGCGCACAGTCACCAAGTGGGTCTTCCTTCACACCCTTGTGAGGCACTACACTCTGGCCAGGGCTTCATCTTTTTGAATGGATGCAGCATAGACTGGATACCATATTTCCCATTACCTAGTAGTATAGTGTAGGCAGCCAGGATGATGGTATCTGCATTATTATTTTCAGCAGTTACAAATGTAAGGAGCCTTTTTGAGAATGTGCAGTGGTAAGTTCTGCAGGCTGATCTTTATACTTAAACACATTGTCTCTACTTGGATGAGATGTTTAAGTATGTAAGGATCCCAGTGTCTTCATTAAGACTGCATACTTACTCTTGGACATTTGTGTTTTGTGGAATAACACTCACAAGATTTCTTTTCCTGCTAAATAATTAGTTTTAAGCTATTTGGCAGAGTGTCAGCTTTAAAAATTTACACTCTAAAATCCTCATTTTACCTCAGTTAAAACCAAACTCCATCCAGAACATTCTGGTTTAGTAGTTTGTATACCAATGTAAAATTTGAATAAAAAGCTGGAGTATTTTCCTGTGAGAAAAATAATAGCTTTTTAAAATTCTTTTCTTTCACAGGGACAGAACAATGAAAATTAAAAGTAGGAAAAATAATCTGATGTTATCAATGAATTGTCAGCAATTTATTGTATTTTCAGTGTATTTACTTCAACAGATGATTTAAGATGTTTAACAAATGATTTAAAATTATGTATGAAAATTTTCTTTTTCCTTTGAAGTGGTAATTTACCAAGAAGACCGTATATAGAAGGAAGATCATGCAGTAAATGTGCAAAAGGGGACACCTGTGAAAATAAACTGTGTAGTAAGTAAAAGCAAATGTAAAATGCAATATGTAAAAGGAAATAATATGACCACCTACTTGAAAAAGAATATTGCAAGCTTTGTTTACTCCTTGATGGTACTCACTCAGGTCCAATTCACATGTAATTTAAAACTGTTCTTAAGCCCATCTACATTCAGGAAACAGATAGTTCATGTTTTTCTGAATCTGGGCCCCGGTGATCATTATGATGTCTTTGATTACAGACAGGTATCATTCATGATTGTGGTGAAATGGATTATTGTTTCTATTGCACTCTGATACTCTGCTGACTTCATTAATCATAGCAAAGAGATCAGCATCTAGCTACATACTTCTCAAAGTAGCATTTAGCAGCAACTCTAGTAGTCTCATAGGCCTTTAGAAACTGCAAAGCTACTAATCAATTGTATGTAGACTAAAATACTTAAATTGCAGTTACTGAGTCTGTTGTGACTTTGCGCAGCCACAGCAAGATTCCCTTCGAGCATCAGTATAGGTGATGCTTATACACTCTGTAAGCAGTCACAGTAACTGTGGGAGAGTCATTCTGGGTCTGTAATTCGTGCTAGAGTTGTAAAAGAAATTATTCACAAAGTCATATTGTATTTCCTACCTGGTTATGTCTCTGGGAAAAGGGACTACATACTGATTTAATTCTCTAGCTATGAAGTATTTTCCCCATGGCAAGTAGTATTAATTTCTTAAGCTAGGTAATTCTTTTAACCCTGTTCTTGTCAAGAAGATGAATGAGAGTAATGAATTGCTACATGTGCACCATGTTTTGATGGAGAGAAACATCAAGAGACAGTAGGTTATCTCTCTTTGGAAAGCTCTAGACCTGACAACTTCCACCTGCTGGGAAGTCACAAGCTAGAAGTTTCCTGTGGCTAAAGTTAAGACATATGTTTTTAAATTTCATTTCATAAACTGGGAGTAAGTTTTGTGATTTCTGTTTAACAGTTAATTATTACATTTGCTCAATATATATGTTCGTATAGCTTTAAAAACATTCAGCAGTCCTTTAGGTCTTAATTTTTACGTAGCAGATTTCCCTTTCCCCCATCCATGTCATTGTTACAAATAACAACTTTATGGAGACATTAATATTGTGAAGCATTGTTTTCAGTTTTTATCAAAATATTTTAGATTCTGTTTTATTTGTAATGTTTATCAATGGGAATTCTCAAGAGTTTTCCATAGTCTATTGATTCTAAATCTGATGAGTTTGTTTCAGCTAGCTAGTAAAGATTTAAGGAGAGAGAAATCATGGCTGGCTGGTAAAACTGTTTATTTTTTCCCTTCTTCCAGGAAATCCAGAACGCGATAAAATTATCTGTACGTATTACAATTTTACACTGCTACTTATATACCTCAGTTACTTTACATATACGTACTCCCAGTAAATCTTATATGCTTATTTATAGCTTATCCAAGATGGCATCCCCCTTGGGAGTTCAGCTTTCTATGCGATGAGGCTTGTATTGCTGTTGTAGTTTTGAGGGCATCGCTGATGTTCCTTGCTTTTGTAGCTGTTTATTTTATCAAAAAACACTTTACAAACATGCATATGTCCACCTAACTGGATTTGAAGCATACTATCTAATGAAGATACTCGCTAATGCATTAAGCAAAAAGTCATACTGACATGACTTTAGAGACAACTTTCTTTGACAGTAATTTTGTTGCTATTATTTTATGCTCCTTAGAGAAAGTTAACATGCCAAAAAAAAATGAAATTATATGGGGGTAAAACCCATACTGGGAAAATACTAAGCTAAAGATGGTATCTCATAAGGTTTGGACACTTACTTTTAAATACCAAATTTCCTGTAACTGTGACATACTCTATTCCTGGAATTCAAGGAGAAAAGTATGTGTCAATTAACCAACTATTAAAGTTCATACTAAGCCAATATTTGAAATCACAATTGTTTAATTTAGATGCTGAGAGAAAGCTAGCATCATAGTATGTACTCGGTCCTGTTCTCTAGCGTGACAGAATGTTCTGAATAAAATATATAAAGTAAGAAAATTTGATAGAAAGATGGTTCTTGAGAAGTCTTGATGTTTGTAAAGTTAGTATAACTTGATATTTATAAGGTAATGCATTTATTGCTCTTCATTTAAAGTGTGACACTTTAGATTTATTATTAAGTATTTTGTTCCTAGCTACCTCTAAACCCAGTGATTAATTTTATTGTTTTCTTTCTTGTTTTAACACGTACCGTTACTTAGCATACCCTATTTTCCTGTTTTGTAAGTGTTCTAAAGTTTTAGTAATAAATTTTCTTTATTTGATCTTGAAACTTTCTCAAGTCCATTTAATCAACACAGATTTTACTCTTCTGTATCCAAGACTTTGAGTCTTTCATTATATGCTTTAATTTTACTTTCTCCAAAAGACAGATGAAATTTATACAAGAATCTGAAACTATTTTTCTTACATGTGTAGCAAACTATATTTTTTTTCCTGGTTGTATCTTAATCTTGTCTAATGAATGTCCATGTAAAAGTTCATTAATATGAGGTGATGTTTCACCATAATCGTAAAATGAACAAATAAATTAAAAAACAAACAAACAAACAAACAAACAAACAAATCAATGTCAAATTCTGCTATTTTCTTAATGTTCAGAACTCGAGTTTAAAGGAAGCTTCCATGAGTTCAGCTTTAGGAACGGTCTCAAAGAAAATAAACTAGACTTTTATTGTAGATTAATTTAAAATTAGTCACATGCTAGCTATTTCTTCAGTAAGTTTTTTATTCTAAAAGTACAGAACAGACTTTTCAAATACAAGTTTTATTATTTTAAAATTGGGTTACATTCTCAAATCTAGAAGCCTAATATTATATACCTAAAATCATAAATAGGTGCCACCTACATAGAAAACTATGCCGTATGAAAGTTCCTAAGCACCAGCTATTCTCATTGATTTTCCTGGAAGTTGCTGATATTCACCATCTCTGAAGATAAAATCATTATTTAGATGCTGTATTGTGGTTGAAAAGCTTACTTCAGAGCTAAACTTCAGATGTCTGTTTTCTTAGTACCTGAAATACAAAATTTGGTACTACAATAAAGCTCTTTTTAAGTTGTTTATATTGCATAGTTTTAGGATGCTGCTTTTTTACAGACAAACGCCCACACTTACATTCAGTTATTAAAACATAAATTTTCCTACTTGTAGCAGTGACATAGCCTGGAAGAAATTCGTATTTAACACAGTAATTCCTATCCCAGAGAATAACTGTCCTTGTCCTTTAGTAGCTCCATTACAGTTAGGACTGCAACAATCACAGTATGCCTTGGAGAGAAGGCAGAGTTGAAAAAGACCTCTGCAGTCTCCCAGAGCTTTAGAAAACCCTCGGTTCCTACTGGCCATATTTATGCTAGGCTGATCGTGGGCCTTTCATCTGAGACATAGTTGTAGTGTTTTTCCAGAGCTGAGCAGTGTGGAATTTGCAACACTGAATGATGTGCAGATGGTGATGCCATCAGATCCTGTTTCAATAAATGAAGTAGTTTTCTATCCATGAGAATATTTTTTCATTCTGCTTTCCTGAACTTGTGGTACTAGGTTTCTGTCCTCAGTGCTGGTTCTTGTGGTGTCCACACAAAATACATATAGTTTGCCCTGTTCTCCAGTTTGGTGTCTTTGGGAGGAAATCTATGAATAGCTGAGAACATAGTTCACTCCAAGATCCCCTTTTTAAAAACAGCATGGATGTGGGCTGTAATGGCTGTCAGTATCTTCTCTTGGGAGTTTCCTGAGTATCATTCCATAATATTCCAGTAGTATTGTAATGGTTCTTGAGCTTTCACACTTCCATATTGTTGCTATGCACCAACCATTTCTGGTGTTATTCTGTGAAAAGAGGCTTAGGATGGATAGCAGAAAAGCCTTCTCATTTTTCAAATGCCTTGAATTTAATAGAAAGAAACAAATGGGACAAATGATAGTCATTTAAGTTCAAGAAATTTAAATTTTGTATGAAGGGCAAGGAAGATAACAAGAGATCCTGTCCAGCTAGGCATATACTTGTACTCTGTAACAAGCTTTCCATATCTGTGTTGTTGAGATCATGCTAAATCCTTCGTCCTGCACAACCTGCTCAAGCTTTGGTTCCATCAAGGAACCGCAGAATCACAGAATGGTTGAGGTTGGAAGGGACCTCTGGGGATCATCTGGTCTGACACCCCTGCTCAAGCAGAGCTGCTTAGACCTGGTTGCACAGGACCATCTCCAGACAGCTTCTGAGCATCTCGAAGGATGGAGACTCCGCAACCTCCCTGGGCAGCCTGCGCCAGGGCTTGGTCACCTTCACAGTAAAAAAGCGTTTCCTGATGTTCAGAGGGAACCTCCTGCGTTCCAGTTTGTGCCCATTGCCTCTGGGCACCACTGAAAAGAGCCTGTCTCTTGTCTTCTGTACACTGTCCCTTCAGGTATATATATGGTTCCAGAGACTTCTGCCTTCCACAGCATTATCACTGCCTACCCATCTTCCCCTCACAATCTTAAGCAGAGCTATCACCAAAGGGAGGAGCCAGCCTTCAGTGAGTGCTTCACACTTCCCTTATCCTTTGGTTGAAGAAAGGGAGTGAAGCAGGCTGTCCTTGAGGGGCAAAGTCGGTGTGATAAAGGGCCATTTTGGCTGGCAGGAGGTGGGCACCACAAGGGAGAGAACACCTACCAACCTCTTGTGCTTTGGTCTGTGTGAGATCCTGGTACTTTGCTGAGAGGACGCAGCAAGCAGCGCAGCACACCGTGATTTTTCTCAGTTAGGCCAAGGGGCATAGTTGCACTAAGCAGCACTGTACAAATTCCCCTAACCAAAACTACAGTAAAACTACCTGCAGTTCAACCACATACTGATGGCCTCCCCTGTTAATTGTGAGGCTGTTTACAGCCTCATTATTAAAAAATAATAGCAAGATTTTTTAGCTTTTAATAAATACAAAGTAGTTTATTACAAAATAGTACTTGTAGAAATCCAGTACCACCACCATCCTTTCATTTAATCTGTTTTCTGCCCTGAGGTGAGACTGTTTAACAGAAGTAGCAGTGCATGTCAGAATATTAGTTTATTCACAGGTCTGGAAGGCCAAGTGATCTTGCAGCTGCCTTATGCCGTGGACAGAACAAGCCCAGCAGATCCACCCCTGTTTGTGCAGCTGAACCTAGTAAGTCAAGGACACACAGATCCTCTCCCCAACCCAAGTAATACTCTGTGGGGAAGTTGATGATTTGAGTCCAAAATTAAATGTAATATGACTGATTCCCAAGCATCTTGGATACCTGTATTAGTCTGTAATTCACCAGCCTTTCATCCTCTGACTGAGTCATAAATTAGGGAAAAACTAAGAGGTCTTATTCTTCCCGCCATTTTAAGCTGAAAGCAAGTGAGGAGTTAGAAAGGGGGATGTAAGCATGGGGATTTTTTCAAAATCATTGGTCTGTACAGCTTCCTGCCCATATCCAGCTCATTGTGCTAATTTTCATTTGAGATCAGTGCAGGGACAGGCAATGCCTGTATTGTCCAGACAAATATAATGTCATATCCAAATCACAAAGCTTACTTTTCATCTGGTTTACAAGATCTATGGCTTAATGCTGGCAAAGGATTATAACTCTTCTTGTGAAAACATCATTTACAGATGCTTGAGGGCAGGCTGGATGTCGGCTTTAAGTATAGAAGAATCACTAGATGGAGCCAGTCATCTCTGCAGGAAAGTATTTTAAAGCCTGGACTATCCCAGATACGTCAAACTTTCCTTCTTCATAAAGATCTCACTTCAGTTTCCAAGCACATAATTTCAACTACATGTGTGTATAACTGAAAGATCACTGCATTGCTAAATTAATGGTGTAGCTTTAGCTTGGTGATAATTTTTGTGCAAATTGCACGCAGTTGTAATATAATCATGATGGTTTTACATTAAGTCTAGCTGACCGAAGGCTTTAGATTCTCATAGATTGCATTTACATTATTAGAAAAGAAAGAGAAAACATACTTTCTAGTTTCAAGGTAATAATCAGCTGGAGAAAGAATAACTGGCAGTAAACTGAACTCAGTTGGCCCTGGTTTAGAAAAGAGGCAAGATGACTTTCAAAGGAACAAAGCAGTGGATAGGCCTTCTTGTTCAGTTTAGAAGCAAGGGTGAGGGCCATTCACTATAATGGTCTAAACTGTCCTAATTTGATCTAAGGACCTCTCCATTACCTCGTGCTCTGTGCACACACCGTACTGCCAGTGGCACCTGGAATGGTACCTTGTGGTCTTCAGGAGTGCACATGGTGGATTGGAGAGTCCCTGTAGCCCAGAAGCAAGCAGCTGATGGGAGAGACCAACCTCTGTCCTCTGGTAGGCCATCCTCCCGTACATTTTAAAATGACCCACCACAGATCAGGGCCCTATCACCTTTGCCAGTGCCCACACACGGTTTCTGGGATAGAGCATGACAGCAGGAGAGAACAGAAACTACGTCTGCTAGACAAGAGACCTTGGCACTGTTAGTGGTGCACCAGGAGGCAGAGTCAGCAGGTAGATCTAGTAAATCATAGGATCACAGAATGGTTTGGGCTGGAAGGGACCTGAAAGACCACCTCGTTCCAACCCCCTGCCCTGGCCAGGGACCCCTTCCCCCAGCCCAGGGTGCTCCCAGCCCCGTCCAGCCGGGCCTTGGACACTCCCAGGGAGGGGGCAGCCACAGCTGCTCTGGGAAACCTCTGACAGTGTCTCACCATCCTCACAGGAAAGAATTTCTTTCTTGTAGCTACTCTAAATCTACCCTCATTCAGTTTAAAACCACTACCCCTCCTTCTATCTCTACACTCTTTGGTAAAGAGTCCCTCCCCATCTTCCCTGTAGGACCCCTTTATGTACTGGCAGGCCACTATAATGTCTCCCCAGAGCCTTCTCTTCTCCAGGCTGAACAACCCCAACTCTCTCAGCCTGGCCTCAGAAGGGAGGTGCTCCAGCCCCCCAGTCATCTTTGTGGCCTCCTCTGGACTTGCTTCAACAGGTCTATGTCCTTCTTATGTTGGGGACCCCAGAGCTGAATGCAGTACTGCAGGTGGGTAGATGCAGATAAATGTAAATGTAGGTGAGGTCATGACCATCACATACATGTTCTGGAGGCAGATGGAGCCACAGCCAACCGCTGATCGAGGAACAGGTAAAGGGATCAGAGCTAAAAGCCAACGGCTGGACTGCAAGTGTGACTGCTGCCTTGGACTAGGGTTGTGTGGGGGTGGGTGTTT